GAAGAAGAAGAAGAAGAAGAAGAAGAAGAAGAAGAAGAAGAAGAAGAAGAAGAAGAAGAAGAAGAAGAAGAAGAAGAAGAAGAAGAAGAAGAAGAAGAAGAAGAAGAAGAACACTAGGCCAAACCCAATGCCTGGGAACCACAGCTTGTCTCGGCACTTCTTTCTCTGTGCTCTGGGATTGCCATATTACTCAATACATTCATGTGTTTCCGGTTCCTCTTCTTTTCTTTTTTCCTCCCACTCTTCTGCCTTCCTCCTCCATCCTGCTGTAAGGCTGGTGGATGGGCAACGGCCTGCTTAAATCTGTGAAGCATCCTCCTTGCGTTGCCATTCTTCACCCGTCTTCACCTAACCCAGACACACCCACACCTTCCCTTCTTTCAAGGTGAGGATTTCGGACCAGATGATAAGATGAAGCCCACCGTGGTTTATAGGGCAACGCAGCAAACCAGACAACTGCTAGTTCACGGAGAGGAATTTGGAAGCCCGTTCTTTCTGATTGGCAACCAGTCTCTGATCCTAGCCTTCCCCAAACCGGTGATGGTCATGTTGACTCCAGCAGAAGGGAGATGTGGTCGAATTCACCTAAAGGGCTGGGTAAGTTTAGACCCTACAAATCAGTTAAGGGTGAACCAGGCTTGGTCAACCAGACAAGGGGGACAGAGTAGGAGATAGGAAAACTGAACTGTAGTCCCATCCCTGAAAGATCAAATTAGAGATAGATTGTCATGGGGAAGATCTATGGTCTCTAGGGATCAAAAACGACCGAATGGTACATAATCAAATCAGTCCTGTTTTAGGCTTAAAAGCACACTGGGTCTCTTTGGGCCAGCCTCTCTCTCTCAGCCCTAGGAATAAAGGAATGGCAACCCAAAGAACATTGCATTGAGTTACATTCCTTTTGGGAGAACGGATTATGACTCATTCAGACTTGTGGGGGTCTGCTGCCCTCCATCGGTTGCAGTAAGTCATGACGTCCATTTTCAATGTATCTTTTCTTTTATGTATACTGAGAGTATTTACACCAAGACAAATTCCTTGTGTGTCCAATCACACTTGGCCAATAAAGAATTCTATTCTATTCTATTCTATTCTATTCTATTCTATTCTATTCTATTCTATTCTATTCTATTCTATTCTATCCTATCCTATTCTATTCTATTCTATTCTAAGTAGACAGGTGGATGGCAACCTTAAGGGAAGGGTCTTTCAACCATCATGGAGCTATGAGTCTGACAATTGCAGGACCATCGTCTCCCCTACCCAAAATGTCTCACAAGGGATTTGCTATACTCACTTCCAGCAGAGGCTTGGCATTGTTGTGCACCGAAAGAATGTGGGTGATCCCATGTTTCATCAGGTTCTCTTTGTCTTCAGCATCTGCAAAGAATGGAGTGTTTCTGAGATCCAGAAGGAACAAATGGATTGCCTTTGATGTGGACTTTGTTCTCGTAGAAGAAACCACAACACTTATAGTGGGAGGAGCCTAGTGGGCCTCTAAGGAAGTTCTGAAGAACTTCAGGAGATGCCTTGCAACTATTCAGGGTTATTGCCCCCATAAAAAGAGATAGGGCTCCAATTTTACTTCTGCAGTTGCCATCTGGATTTTGCTCGTCATATCCTATGGACATTCCTGAAACTGTTGTTATCTCGGTGGTGACTATGGATTATTACCCTGGTTCATTCCAGGCCTATTTTACCAGGCTAGATCAAGGGAGGGGAGGAGCAGAATTCCAGAACACTAATCATCATCAACATCTCCAAGAATAAAGTACTGAAAGAAAAAAAAACTTACCACTAATGCTCCCAAGGTAAAGGCCCTCCACCACCTAAGGAGACACCAATAAAGAACATGAATGCATTGTCTCCCATGCCAGAGCTAAAAAAGAAGACTTTCTGGAGTAATACTTCGTGGAAAGCAGCTGTTTTACTCCATCCTACACTAGTTAGGCCTCCCCACGAAAGGTCTTACATTCAGGGCACCCCATTTTGAAAAAGCCTCAGAGAAACTGAAACAGATGTAGAGAATGCCAACACAATCTGGTGGCACCTTTCCCAACAAGCAAGAGGGAAGCTTTTGTGAGGTGCATCTGCCTTCATCGGATGTGTAAATGATGGAGGGTTTAAATTGAGGCAAGGTGGAGAGAAGAGACAGGAAGATAGGTTGGTTATGCAGATGCGGCTGACACATGAGAGAAATTATAAATATCTTATCGATCAACAATTGTAGAGTGTGGGGAAAGTTAAACATTTATATATATATATTTAAAAAACGATCAAGTAATACAAAAAAAAACACCATATACAGCACCATAGTACCATATACAGTACTTCAATATATAAAATCCAACAGAATTGGAAGGCTATAGACATAGCCACATGTTGGGCAGTGTCCTCTCCACCACCTCCCTAGCAGATGGTCATCAGAAAATCTCAATCAGTCGCTCATTGCATGAATCCATGATCTGCATAATTGTGGTTTAATATCTGGAGGATTTTAAGAAGAGACTGGATAACCTGTCTGAAATTGTATAAGGTCTCCTGCTTGAGGACAGGGGCTTGGACTAGAAGACCTCCAAGGTCCCTTCCAGCTCTATTCTGATTGATGGTGTTGTTGCTTCAACCGCAACAATACAAGAGCACACAACCGATACAAACTCAATGTAAACCACTCCAAACTTGATTGCAGAAAGTACGACTTCAGCAACAGAGGAGTCAATGCCTGGAACGCCCTACCTGACTTTGATGTTACATCCTCAAACCCCAAAAACTTTAACCTCAAACTGTCCACTGTTGACCTCACCCCATCCCTAAGAGGTCTGTAAAGGGGCATGCATAAGCGCACCATCGTGCCTACCATCCCTATCCTATTGTCCCCATTTATCTGTATCTATTTCCTGCATTCTTACTCATGTTTATACTTATACCTATCATCTTGTAAGCGATTGACAAATCAAGTCAAATAAATAAAATGAAATCGCAACGAGTTGGCTTGATACATCCCTGGAATTACGAACAGTCAAAGGGATCTTGCAGAAAAATCAGCCTGCTGATTGAGAACGATCCCTTCTCTTCTTCATTTCAACCCAGAGTGGAGAGAAATTTGAGACTGCCCCTGTATCTGGGTCAGGAAGTTTAATTATACTTCAGTGAAATGATGGCTCTTCCCGTTGTTTAGGGACACAAGTTGTAAACAAGCCTTCTGCTAGGCAGATAGTTGTGTAAAAAAAAAAAAAGTTGATTGCTTCCTTCTTTTTCTTCTAAGCTCTGCTGTACATTTTGGGGCGGGGACAAAAAAAACCCCAACCATTGGATGAATGTATAAGATTAAATCATAATGAAAATTAGAATATCTCATATAAAATGATAGAAATACAGTTAAATGAATGTTTAATAATTGATATTATATAAGCACAAGCTAGACCGATAAGATGAGAATTTATATAACATGTGAGTAATGGTAAAAAAAAAGGATAGCACAAAAGATTGTAACCAACTGACAGACTGTATGTATATAATTGAAAGAGGGTTTTATGTTTTGTTCATATGTTTGTTGTAAAAAATAAAAACTTTGTTTAAAAAAAAACCCCAACCTGAAACAATTTCTTCTTCTATCTCTTCAAGGACCTTCAACACCAGATGCCAAACTTCAACTGGTTCCTACATGTTTATTTGTTCAGATATTGCATGGTGGCACCCATATGTATTTCCCAAGCTGGAAAACCTTAAGATGGGTGGACTTCAGTTCCCAGATGTCCCCAGCCTACTGATTTTAAGAGACAACGCTGATGCCCTGATGCATGGACCAAGATGGATTGAGAAAAGATGGAGTACAATGCAAGACAGTCGTGTTCCTTTCCTGTTCCTCCCCTCTTCCCTTCCAGCTCCTGCTTATTGTTTTAAATGACCCCTCCCCCTTTCTGCAACCAAGCCATTCTGCACCCACCCACCCCTTCTTGGGGGCCCTTCCCATGAAACTCTAGGATTCTACCTTGCTCATGCCGATCCCCATGACAACTCTTCATTCTTTGGCGGGCCGGCAAGGGCAACGTTCACTCCATTTCTCCCTCTGGTCTCCGAGACCCTGCAAAGCAAAAACAGAGGACACCAAAGAAAAGAGGAAAGGTTCCTGCAGCCGAGACTCACCCGGCTGTACCCTCCTTCAAGGAAGGAGTGTGTTGTGTGTCCAAAGGGTGTGTTTGTTCAAGGAGAAGCAAACCTGGGAATGAGGAAGAGTGCAGGGAACCGAGAAGCTGGCAATGTCTCCCACTCACTCAGGCTCCTGGTGCTTTTCTGGGCTCAGGACAGCTGTTGTCAGTGGCTGTCAGCCCAACGAAGCCTTCTAAGGTCAGCCAGGTTGGACCTGGGACAAGTGGTCAGTTGATTTGGGATGCCTGCATGTGGCACTGTTCCCTCTGTCCTCCCTCTCGGTCCCATAATTCACTGCAACCCGGTTGCTGCCAAGCAGAAGATCAGAATAACAAGAGTTGGAAAGGACCTCGTTGATCTTCTAGTCAGCAACCTGCAGCTCTGGAGCCGCATGCGGCTCTTTGGGCCTTCTGCTGTGGCTCCCTGTTGGGTGGTCCCACCACTGGCTGGTCCCGCCCCTCACCCTTCCCTCCCAGTCACTCTTCACCTGGTCTGAGAAGGTAAAACACAAAAGACAGAAATGAGAGGGAGGGAGGGAGGGGAGACCCATTTCCTACGGAAAACACCGGGAGCCACAAAACCTGGGTAGGCGTGGCGGGTGTGTGTCATGTGACTGGTGATGTCGAGTTGGCCACGCCCACCCAGGTTTTGTGGCTCCCGGTGTTTTCTTTTCTGTGGGAAACAGGTCCAAATGGCTCCTTTAAGTGTTTAAGGTTGCAGACCCCTCTTCTAGTCCAAGGCACTGTTCAAGCAGGGGATGCTATACAATTCTGGTTGTCGAATGGTTTTTCCAATCTCTTCTAAAAAATCTCCAGCGTTGCAGCACCCACCACTTCTGGGAGCAATTCGTTCCACGGATTCTTCTCACAGTCGGGAAATTTCTGCTTCGTTCTAGGCAGCTCCTTTCCTTGGTTATTTCCCACCCGTTGCTCCTTGTCCTGCCTTCAGGTGCTTTGGAGGTTGACCTCTCTTCTTTATGGCAGCCCCTGAGACACTGGAACACCACACTATCGTGCCACCTCTAGTCCTCCAAGACGTTGTGTTGCCCTACAAATAAGTTCTTTATGGAAGGTTCATTTTGGAAGGGGAGGGGGCAGAGAAAAGAGGACATCAGGACAGGGGCTGTTTGGGAGACCAAAGCTCTTGGTTGTTAGTTAGAAGTGGCCTGGCTGAGTGCCTTCAATCACTCCTGTCTCTGCCAGGCTGTAATGCAAATGGATCCTTTTCTAGTTTCAGTAGGGCGTTGAGCTTCCCATCCTAGTACACCATGGAGAAGGGAGGGAATTTTGATATGGAATAAGGTGGGAAGGCCAATAAATTGGGGAGGAGGGCTGAGAACTTCCACCCTTGTGCTACTGGTCCACACTGTAGTCATTGCAGGAGGAAAGTCGTGCTAGTTTTAAGCTAGTCCAATATTTTGATTCTTCCTGCATTTTATCTGTCCAGGATTTTCCATTATTGATTTGGTTTTCCTCTGGAAACGGCACACTACTGGAGATGCACAGCAAAACCAAAGGAACTTGGAAAAGCTGTACACTGTATTCAAAATGTTTATCTATGAATAAAAAAAAACCTTGTACATACACACACACACACAAAAAGGAAATTGGAAAAGCTCCATGCCCTGCAACAACCATCAGGGTTCTCCACCAAAGTTCAGCAGCAACCCAGTTTTTTTTTTTTCATTTCCTGTCCTGGTAGATAAAGTTCTTCAACCAACATGCAGAGCAGCAAGAATTCCGTTCAAGCACTTGGGTTTCCTACCAAACTTCCTTTGGGTTTTTTTTTCCTCTTAAAGAGTTAGGTGGCCCCCAAGGTTATGTTTAAGATGCTTTCAGCTTGGTCTCCACCACGAACCATTTGGGTATATTCTATAACGGAAGGCGACAACTCATTGCAGCCAACTTGCCATGGCCAACTCACGGTGGGACAACTTAACAATTGAATGATTTAAAATAATTTTTGTCATTCACATTTCATTCTGTCCCTCCCTTTGCGTTCTTTAATGATTCTATTCCATCATTTCCTATGTTAGTATAACTTCTTTTCCAAAGCAAGTTGTTCCAGGGCAACTTGGCCGTGGAGAATTGTCACCGACTTTATTCTGTATACTATTTGCATAAAGGAATTATTATCAATACTTGGAATATTAATTTCATTCCCAAAGCACAGAACCGACCTACACAATTGGCTTCATCAAACCATCCCCGGTTCCAAGATTCCCCTCCTATAATCAACTCTGTCCCAACAGAATGAAATGTGCGTAGTGAAGAGCGCTGTATACACATTTTTGTGATACTGAACTTAAATCCCTTCCTGTAGTTACAGAACAAGTGTCAGAAAGCCAGGAGTCCAACTGTCAAAAGGATTACCGTCTAATCCTACAAACCTAAACATGCTTTTATTTATTGCATGTTCCAAAATATGCAGCTGGATGTTTTTGCCTGGAATATTTTTTTAAAAAATAAGGTTGCTGCAATTATACAGCAAACTGCTTAATCCTGTCTGTGCAGCAGCCCAGCTCACTAGGGTGCCAATTCTCAGTTGTAAGCCCCCACTGGATAAATTATTACCAATTCTGAATGCTTAGCATCATTTATCCATTTCTGCTGCCAGGACGCAAAAAATTTGAAGCACCAATTGCTGATGGAAGATGCACTGTCCTATTAGGGAACCTTTGGCAGTCGCTGGCTCAATAACCACTATTTAACTCAACAAGTCGGTTATTTCAGATATTTTAAAGAGATTGTTCCACACCAAATAAAGAGTCAAATGCCTTTTTTTTTTTTTTTGAACTGTAATTTTTAATCTTCTTGCAAAAAAAATAAAATAAAATTGCAAACAGGATTTAGTTTAGGAGCAATTTTGCACATTAACCTGTAGGAACAGTTCAGCGATTCCGGGTACGTAAAGCTGTTATGGTTTAAACAAGGATAGGATTCTATTTCATCCGAGGCAGAAGCCAGGCTGCAAACCTAGAGATGAAGAAATGGTTTCAGACTTTCACATCCCGAGAGAAGCCGGGAGACTTCCTGAAAGGTATTTATTTTTTCCATTCGTTCTTCTCATAATCCCACTTGGAGCAAAGGCCCATAATGGGGTCCGGTTTCGTATCCAGATGCTTCCGGAGCTCCATGGCTTTCCAATCCTCCGATAAAGTGTGGGGGACTGGTTTCAGAACTGCAATTGGAAGAGATCATGGTTGGAGACAATCGGAGTTAGCCAGCAACACCTAACCTCTCCCAAGCGAGCGATGGGCGTTGAGCCACGGCTTGTGCTCTCAAAAGAGAATAAGGCTGTTAAGGTTAATTCAGATTTGGATTCGAAATCCAGGGACCGTCTGTATCTTCACGTCCACCTACAGCCCCCTTAGCTCATCTCTCTTTAGGGGTTTGGAAAGACAAAAATGTGACTCCAACCATTCAGTGGTCTGCAGGATTAAGGCAGATTAGCTAAGGGATGACAGTAACGGCTTCAATTTATTGAGATATGTGTATGTGTCAGTGTATGTCCTGTAAGTTTGGAGGTCTTTTAGCTCTTCCTTCCTTCCTTCCTTCCTTCCTTCCTTCCTTCCTTCCTTCCTTCCTTCCTTCCTTCCTTCCTTCCTTCCTTCCTTCCCTCCCTCCCTCCCTCCCTCCCTCCCTCC